TCCTTCTCCTCCTCCTCCTCCTGTTTCTTCTCCTTCTCCTCCTCCTGTTTCTTCTCCTCCTTCTCTCCTCCTCTTTCTTCTCCTCCTCCTTCTCCTCCTCCTCTTTCTTCTCCTCCTCCTTCTCCTTCTTCTCTATCCCCAGGCTTGATATTGCATAGATGAAACATGTCATTGCCTTTGAGATGTCATGAGAGTTCTGTTTTTCCCGAAGACGTTTTTTCTGTAGCTGAAGATCACTTTTGTACTTTTCTAAATCTTCAGACCCAACATCCTTAAGTCGCAATTCTTCCTTCTCCAAGCGAGTAAGGTCCTTCCATATCTGGCCTTGCAAGGGAAGCTGAGCTTCTTTGTATTTAAGAAGGTCTTGAATTTCTGCAGTGATGGCATCTGCATTTTCCTTCGCAGTCTGGCACTCTGGAGAGTCTTCATCAACACAGATTCCCAGTTCATGGGCAACGTCAGCCATCTTCTCAATTCCCATCTTCATCTTTGATTTTTCAATTACATTGCTGACTTTTCCCCGCAAATCTTTGACAAAGTTTGCATCATTTATGTGCTTTTCTTTCAAAAGGATGTTGATCTTCTTTAAGCTCAATTTGGTTGCTACCTTTTTTACAGCATCTAATTTGAAATCTTTGCTTTGACGGTTACCCACCAAGAAGATCTGGGCCTTGTGGTTTTGGTTGGTTAGCAGCTCACACTCAGAGTCCAAAGCATCAAAGAACACAAAAACTGCTGCAGATGTCTGACACAAGAAATCAAATTGTGTTTGAGATGAAGCAATGTCCCCACGAAGGTTAGCTACAGCAACTGGCTCGCTGAAGACATCCATGTTTTTGTTCCCACAAGGGAGGTACCAAGTCATTTCAACCAATCCATTGGATATTCTCCTTGGACTGTCACCACCCTCCATGTTGTGGTGAACAAAGGTGTCGTGGTACTGCTGAGAATTGCTCAGAAGCTTATTGAGGATCTCTGACTTGGACAAGGAGCACTCACCCAGTCTCACAAAAGATATCATTGGAAGTTCAGAGACAACAATTCTCTCTTCAATAAATCCCCTGGACTCTGAAAGTGACTGAGGTCTGTACTTTTTAACAATGTCTCTCATGGCCCAAAGCATGAGTGTGCACTGCTTTGTGTCACAGTTGGGAAGCAACAGAGGCACGGAAAACTGACACATGGACATTTTGAGGGCCATTTCCTGCTGTACAAAACCATCAGAGCACAGGAAGAGAGCAGTGACAATATCAAGGGGATTCAGTGTGTCACCTGAATGTGTACTTTCATCTAAATCATCAAGGTCATCTGTGTGATCCTCACAGTTTGACTCATGTGCAGGTATACATTTCACATTCCTAGCTGTCACATTGACCATCATTAGTTTCTTCAGAAAATACCATGGAAGATCTGAATTACACTTAGCAGGTTTATCAGTAATGGTCTTCTTGTCAATCCTCAGAAGTGTGCTTATGGATAACTTCTCTTCAATGTGGTGATCCAACCCCAGTTCCTCCAAAAGGCTCTCTAGGTGTTTCTCTGTAGAAAATGAAAACAACAAATATTAAAGCCTAAATTGATTATTAAACATTCATAAGCATGGATCAACATTTATTATAACAATTTTCCTTTCCTATAGTTTATAAGGTACACATTGCTTAACCTACAACTACTGTATGATGGGAAGTCAATTATTAAACAGCTTGTCTAATAGATGGATCCAGATCCTTCAACAACACTAGAATCAAACTAGAGAATGCAATTCCTGAAGAAATTGCTAGTGGGAATGCTTTATGCTGAAATGTAATGTGTAAGAAGAAAGTGAAGAATTTAGATTGAAATGATACATGAACACTGGGCGCTTGAATGTGTGATGAGAGAAGAAAAGAAAGTAAAAAGGCTTGGAAAAGCAGCAGAATATTTGAAATGCAAACTTTTGAACTAACTTGATGGCGAATGATCTGTCGCCATGCCAACAGCATTTGATGACATCCCATAATACGCTTAGATGCGTTGATGGCTGTGTTACCAAACCTGTGAAGTTTTGGGCCATTTGGAGCATTTGCACTGAAGTTATGAGGAAACCGTGTTTCATGGCGGGCATTGTGTTGCCATGGCAACGGCATGTCCCGTAGATGTCTTCACGGCTGGACTGTTAGCACACATGTGAAGTTTGAGCACTTTTTTAACATTTTCATAGGAGTTATAGCGACATCATGTTTTATGGCGAGGGATGCGTTTCCATGGAAATGGCATATGGTGAGATCTCAGATTTGGCGTAGAGCTGTTGAGGCATGGACCGGTGATATACAAGTGAAGATTGGGGGACGATTGGACCGTGTTGATTGGACCTACAGCGACATCGTGTTTCATGGCGAGTGGTCTGTCGCCATGGCAACGGCATTTGAAGAAATCTCAAAACTGTCCCGTAGATGTCTTCACGGCTGGACTGTTAGCACACATGTGAAGTTTTAGCACTTTTTGAACATTTTCATAGGAGTTATAGCAATATCGTGTTTTATTGCAAGGGATGCCTTGGCAACAGCTTTTGAGGAAAACTCACTAATGGTATATAGACATGTTGAGGGCTGGACCATTAACTGTCATCTGAAGTCTGGTGGTGTTTGGATCATTTGCATAGGTATCACGACAACATCGTGTTTTATTGGCGAGGGATGCGTTTCCATGGAAACAGCCTATGGTGAGATCTCAGATTTGGCGTAGAGCTGTTGAGGAATGGTCCGGTGATATACAAGCGAAGTTTGGGGACGATCGGACCGTGTCCATTGGAGTTACAGCGACATCGTGTTTCATGGCGAGCATTGTGTTGCCATGGCAACGGCATTTGAAGAAATCTCAAAACTGTCTCGTAGATGTCTTCACGGCTGGACTGTTAGCACACATGTGAAGTTTGAGCACTTTTTGAACATTTTCATAGGAGTTATAGCGACATCATGTTTTATGGCGAGGGATGCGTTTCCATGGAAACGGCATATGGTGAGATCTCAGATTTGGCGTAGAGCTGTTGAGGCATGGACCGGTGATATACAAGTGAAGATTGGGGGACGATTGGACCGTGTTGATTGGACCTACAGCGACATCGTGTTTCATGGCGAGTGGTCTGTCGCCATGGCAACGGCATTTGAAGAAATCTCAAAAACTGTCCCGTAGATGTCTTCACGGCTGGACTGTTAGCACACATGTGAAGTTTTAGCACTTTTTGAACATTTTCATAGGAGTTATAGCAATATCGTGTTTTATTGCAAGGGATGCCTTGGCAACAGCTTTTGAGGAAAACTCACTAATGGTATATAGACATGTTGAGGGCTGGACCATTAACTGTCATCTGAAGTCTGGTGGTGTTTGGATCATTTGCATAGGTATCACGACAACATCGTGTTTTATTGGCGAGGGATGCGTTTCCATGGAAACAGCCTATGGTGAGATCTCAGATTTGGCGTAGAGCTGTTGAGGAATGGTCCGGTGATATACAAGCGAAGTTTGGGGACGATCGGACCGTGTCCATTGGAGTTACAGCGACATCGTGTTTCATGGCGAGCATTGTGTTGCCATGGCAACGGCATTTGAAGAAATCTCAAAACTGTCTCGTAGATGTCTTCACGGCTGGACTGTTAGCACACATGTGAAGTTTGAGCACTTTTTGAACATTTTCATAGGAGTTATAGCGACATCATGTTTTATGGCGAGGGATGCGTTTCCATGGAAACGGCATATGGTGAGATCTCAGATTTGGCGTAGAGCTGTTGAGGCATGGACCGGTGATATACAAGTGAAGATTGGGGGACGATTGGACCGTGTCGATTGGACTTACAGCAACATCGTGTTTCATGGCGAGTGGTCTGTCGCCATGGCAACGGCATTTGAAGAAATCTCAAAACTGTCCCGTAGATGTCTTCACGGCTGGACTGTTAGCACACATGTGAAGTTTTAGCACTTTTTGAACATTTTCATAGGAGTTATAGCAATATCGTGTTTTATTGCAAGGGATGCCTTGGCAACAGCTTTTGAGGAAAACTCACTAATGGTATATAGACATGTTGAGGGCTGGACCATTAACTGTCATCTGAAGTCTGGTGGTGTTTGGATCATTTGCATAGGTATCACGACAACATCGTGTTTTATTGGCGAGGGATGCGTTTCCACGGAAACAGCCTATGGTGAGATGTCAGATTTGGCGTAGAGCTGTTGAGGAATGGTCCGGTGATATACAAGCGAAGTTTGGGGACGATCGGACCGTGTCCATTGGAGTTACAGCGACATCGTGTTTCATGGCGAGCATTGTGTTGCCATGGCAACGGCATTTGAAGAAATCTCAAAACTGTCTCGTAGATGTCTTCACGGCTGGACTGTTAGCACACATGTGAAGTTTGAGCACTTTTTTAACATTTTCATAGGAGTTATAGCGACATCATGTTTTATGGCGAGGGATGCGTTTCCATGGAAACGGCATATGGTGAGATCTCAGATTTGGCGTAGAGCTGTTGAGGCATGGACCGGTGATATACAAGTGAAGATTGGGGGACGATTGGACCGTGTCGATTGGACTTACAGCGACATCGTGTTTCATGGCGAGTGGTCTCTCGCCATGGCAACGGCATTTGAAGAAATCTCAAAACTGTCCCGTAGATGTCTTCACGGCTGGACTGTTAGTACACATGTGAAGTTTGAGCACTTTTTGAACATTTTCATAGGAGTTATAGCGACATCATGTTTTATGGCGAGGGATACAGATACATTCGCTTGAAAAACAAGAAGCTAACCTTGAAGCAATAAAAACAAATCTCAGAGCGGTAATGGAAAAGCTTGAGCTTCAAACTGATCAAATAACAACCATGGAAGCCCTGGAGTATGGTGGAGGATGATAATAAATGTGTTGTGGTGGAGTGATACTGTACTGGTCAACCAGATGAAAATGCTGATGTTCATAATGAAGAACATAGAGCAAGACAATAGAAAAGTCTTCATGGGCCCTTACTTGCGTTCAATCTCAAGCAATGGAGGCCCACATAGTAGACAAAAGTATCAGCAGCGCAGCATTACTCCAGCCAAGTCAGACAAAGTCACAATCAAATAGCAAAGAAAGAGTGACTCGATTTAAGTAATGTAGCGCCAAATCAAAATGACTGAAATGCTGCCAAAGGAGCAACGCTTAACATTATATCCATCCAGAGAAATACCCATCTTTAAGGAATATAAGTTTGAGTACCTTCCATTTATTGAGATGTTGGCCAAACTAAAGACTTGGTGAGAAGGTTTCAATAAATGAATTCTAAAAAGGACTAGAAAGCCAAGAGATTGCTCGAAGAGAACTATGGAAATGAACTCTTTTGCAGCAGCTTGTTTGGAGAAAGGTCAAATTGGAAAGCCATTAACAGTGAAGATAGAAAAGCACTGCTCACTTAAACTATTCTTCTTTCAGGATGTTGTAACTCAATGGAAGATATTGATACCTTCCTTTAAACTCAGGGAAAAGTGGAGAACTGCAAATTCATAGATTCAAACAAAATAAAAAATGCAATCTTTCCAGTTGTGGTTGTTTTCATCTAAAGACATGATACTGATGACTATAAAGGAAGTAGTTTTGCGACAGTAAGTGCAGGTGCATGCATAGAACTGAAAAAGAGCAAAACATGTCAGATTTACCAAAAGACAGATTTTCGCCAGAGCTACCACCATACATGTATGTCAGAGTTATGGACAGCTTGATGATGAAAGCCCTTCAACAGTTATGTGCGTGTAAACTAATTATCAACAGCCGACACACATAACTACAGTGCCAAATGTTCCAAATGACTTTGAACCTCTATCACCCGACCACTTGCTTCAGCTCAAGGTCAAACCAATGCTGCCCCCAGGTTAAATCCATCGGCAATATACACAGCCAAAACACCATTGGCAGCAAGTGCAATGCATAACAGAGTTCTAGACCAGATTAATCTACGACTTTTGCAAGAAAGACCGGAATGGAATTGTATTCAAAGAAACTAAATACCTGGACATACATGTATTGATCATAAACTCAAATGCACCTCATGGATCCTGGTTAATGGCAAAAGCTCTGGAGACACCACCCAGATCAAGAGGTCTGATTCTTTTGATGACAGATTTTGTTTCTTGCAAAAGGTCCCAATTTATTTAAAACTTTTGCAAGAAATAGTCTGATTATTTGTATGAAAGAAACAAACATGCTGGAAAGACCAGTGAGCAAAGTTATCTCTCTGGTGCCAGTCTCAAAATAAGGCAAAAGAACTGATCAACCCTCTGTCACAACTAGAATATAGATTTCAAAGACTGAACCTTTTATATCTGGCTCCTTTTTGTTACAATAAGTGCCGCTATGTAGGCCAGTATTTTGTTTTGTGCTAAATGTCAAAATAATATTGTCACCCAGTAGAGACCTCTATTTATGGAAAATAAAAGACTACAATTCCCCAGCACCAGCTTATTGAGATTCAGATATATGGGCCGATGTGACAGAGTTCTCAACCGCTCAATTATTTAACGTTATCATCTAACGGTAAGAAAAAAGATGTTGTAGTTTGCTCATCATTTTTTTTGTTGCCTCTTTTGTTTTTATAGTAAACCATGCAATAATGATTATGTTTGACTTACCTTTGGGGGCAGATGTTTCAGTTGGCTTGCTTAATGCTCCATCAGGTTTCTCTTTTAGAGTTTCAACCTCACTGCCACACGTTGCATTGTTACTCTCCACTTCACCAGCAGGTGGGTCCGAATGCAGAGACTCTGACTCCCTGCTGACCTGATCGACTTTGTTCTGCACAGGAGTGCTGGGCTCTGTGGGGAAAAACAGAAAGGTTTCACTAAAACTTAAAGAATTATTGTTCCATCAATGTTTGTCAGCATTTTAAAGTGCTGTTTGACTCCCAAGTAAAGGCCACACAAAAGCCATGTATAATTATCCAAAAGATCCAGAAACAGATGGTATTGATTTGATTTTCAGATGAACTCGTCAATACAGATAACGAGGAGGCAATTTCATTATACCTAATACTTTGGAACTGTTGTAATACAGCGATTACATGTTTTTTGTTAAAACCTGAGTCATTCTCATCTTTATTTCCTGACCGGCAAAAAAGTAGCTTTCTTTCAACAGGATCCTTCCTGCCCCTGGGCTGATAGTCATCTGGACTAATAGACTCAAGGAGGGCTTGTTGTCTTGTTGGACTTAACAAAGTGGGTTCCACTGAACGATATCGGCACTGCAGCTACTAGCGCTTCATCCTGTACCTCACCCACTGATACAGAGGAATTGTGAAGGCAGTTCTGATTGCCTGATGTCATTAAGACCATTAAGTCATGTGGCTAATACTGTGACTATATTTTAACATTCTCACAGAGAACTTTGACCTCTTGGTCAGCAAGCACCCTACAAAGACTTAAGGAGGTCACTAATGGACAACTGGCCAATCTATGGTCCAGGCTAGTTTGTGCCATCTAAAGGGCCAGTGTCCCATGGTCAGGAGGATCTCTAGCTTCACCAAGGACTCAGACAGGGGACAAAGGAATAACTTGAAATGCCAGATAGCTTTAACTACACAAAACTGGGCAATCAGCGTTCTGTCTTCTGCAAGGAGATCTTTCTTGTATTCAAGGAACAATTCTGCATTGATGCCATCTGCAATTGTCTTGGCAGTCTTACACTCTGAAGGGTCTTTGTCAGAGCCAGTTTTTGATTCTTGCAAAAGGTTCTAATGTACCTACCACTTTTGCAAGAAATAGTCTGATTATTTGTATGACAGAAACAAACATGCTGGAAAGACCAGTGAGCAAAGTTATCTCTCTGGTGCCAGTCTCAGAGTAAGGCCAAAATAACTGAACAACCCTCTGTCACAACTAGAATGTAGATTTCAAAGACTGAACCTTTTATATCTGCTTCATTCTTTGCTATGTTTATTGTTATTAAAGATGCCCATTACGATAGGGGCCGCTATGTAGGCCAGTTTTTTGTTTTTGGTCGGAAAGAAAGAAAAACTTAGTTTGATCATCATTTTATTTGAGTTTTGCCTCTTTTGTTTTGATTTGTTTTGACTCTTTATAAGGACTTCATCAACCATGCAATAATGATTATATTTGACTTACCTTTGGGGGCAGATGTTTCAGTTGGCTTGCTTAATGCTCCATCGTGTTTCTCTTTTAGAGTTTCAACCTCACTGCCACACGTTGCATTGTTACTCTCCACTTCACCAGCAGGTGTGTCCGAATGCAGAGACTCTGACTCCCTGCTGACCTGATCGACTTTGTTCTGCACAGGAGTGCTGGACTCTGTGGGGGAAAACAGAAAGGTTTCACTAAAACTTAAAAAAGTATTGTTCCATCAATGTTTGTCAGCATTTTAAAGTGCTGTTTGACTCCCAAGTAAAGGCCACACAAAAGCCATGTATAATTATCCAAAAGATCCAGAAAGAGATGGTATTGATTTGATTTTCAGATGAACACATCAATACAGATAATGAGGAGGCAATTTCATTATACCTAATACTTTGGAACTGTTGTAATACAGCGATTACATTTTTTTTGTTAAAACCTGAGTCATTCTCATCTTTATTTCCTGACCGGCAAAAAAGTAGCTTTCTTTCAACAGGATCCTTCCTGCCCCTGGGCTGATAGTCCTCTGGACTAATAGACTCAAGGAGGGCTAGTTGTCTTGTTGGACTTAACAAAGTGGGTTCCACTGAACGATATCAGCACTGCAGCTACTAGCGCTTCATCCTGTACCTCACCCAATAACACAGAGGAATTGTGAAGGCAGTTCTGATTGCCTGATCTCATTAAGACCATTAAGTCATGTGGCTAATACTGTGAATATATTTTAACATTCTCACAGAGAACTTTGACCTCTTGGTCAGCAAGCACCCTACACAGACCCAAGGAGGTCACTAATGGACAACTGGCCAATCTATGGTCCAGGCTAGTTTGTGCCATCTAAAGGGCCAGTGTCCCATGGTCAGGAGGATCTCTAGCTTCACCAAGGACTCAGACAGGGGACAAAGGAATAACTTGAAATGCCAGATAGCTTTAACTACACAAAACTGGGCAATCAGCGTTCTGTCTTCTGCAAGGAGATCTGTCATATGTGCTATACTGGCAGTAATATATCTATAACAGCTTCATTAACATGAAGAAAGGCTGTTGCTGAGAAAGTTGCTCTAAGAACTCACTGCTGCTTCACAACAGATACATTCACTTGAAAAACAAGAAGCTAACCTTGAAGCAATAAAAACAAATCTCAGAGCAGTAATGGAAAAGCTTGAGCTTCAAACTGATCAAATAACAACCATGGAAGCCCTGGAGTATGGTGGAGGATGATAATAAATGTGTTGTGGTGGAGCGATACTGTACTGGTCAACCAGATGAAAATGCTGATGTTTATAATGAAGAACATAGAGCAAGACAATAGAAAAGTCTTCATGGGCGCTTACTTCAGAGTTCCCGTTAGCCGGTAATTACCGGACTATGACCGGTAAAATATGCTGAAGACCGGCAAATCTAAATCTCTCCGGTCAAAATGTGCGGTCAAAATAATTTTCCCTTAGCGCAATACCGCATCAGTTGCGCCACTTATGTGACAGACAAGAATAGTATGTGACAGACAAGAATAGTCAATTCTAATGTCTAACACTTAATGTGGAGAAAGAGATGTCCTGTAAGGGTTGATTGTGCGTTGATCTGTTGGTAATGCCTCGGGGTTCCGGTGGGCATGTAAACAAATGCATAATGCTGTGCTATACTTTGTGGCCTCACCCGGTTGCATAGCGACGCTTATTGTTTAGGTGTCTTTTGATAAGCAGGTAGTCATATCATTAGCTAGAACTAGCTAGATCTGATCAATATGGACATAAACGCGAGTAAAGTCTGATCTGACGGGAGAGAGAGATCGGCTGCTGCTGACGAGTCGACACGCAGCTCTGCATGATCCCCTGCAGCGGCGAGCAGAGCAAAACACACTTCAGGTTAGAATATCACACGTAGCTATTTTAATTACCTCTCAAACTACCTAAACTAGTTATAGATATGTTTAGTTTTACTGTCGGGTCATTCATTACTGGATCCGCGAGCTGCATGATACTGACGGGCTGTCAGGAGAAGGAGAGAGCGCTCCGTTTATTATTCCCGCGTTTTTGTAAATTACTGTACACTTTTGAATAATGTAGTTAATCTACTATAATTAGTTTGTTTAATATCGAATCATATCAATTTGTTTTAAAGCTCAATAAATAACAAAGAAGACCTTTGACCGGCACTTTTCTCATTTTGTCCGGAAGATTTCAACTTTAACGGACATGTTGACCGGCAAAAAAATATTCTAACGGGAACTCTGGCTTACTTGCGTTCAATCTCAAGCAATGTAGGCCCACATACTGTAGTAGACAAAAGCATCAGCAGCGCAGCATTACTCCAGCCAAGTCAGAAAAAGTCACAATCAAATAGCAAAGAAAGAGTGACTCGATTTAAGTAATGCAGCGCCAAATCAAAATGACTGAAATGCTGCCAAAGGAGCAACGCTTAACATTACATCCATCCAGAGAAATACCCATCTTTAAAGAATATAAATTAGAGTACCTTCCATTTATTGAGATGTTGGCCAAACTAAAGACTTGGTGAGAAGGTTTCAATAAATGAATTCTAAAAAGGACTAGAAAGCCAAGAGATTGCTCGAAGAGAACTATGGACATGAACTCTTTTGCAGCAGCTTGTTTGGAGAAAGGTCAAATTGGAAAGCCATTAACAGTGAAGATAGAAAAGCACTGCTCACTTAAACTATTTGTCTTTAAGGATGTTGTAACTCACTGGAAGATATTGATACCTTCCTTTAAACTCAGGGGAAAGTGGAGAACTGCAAATTCATAGATTCAAACAAAATGAAAAATGCAATCTTTCCAGTTTTGGTTGTTTTCATCTAAAGACATGATACTGATGACTATAAAGAAAGTCGTTTTGCGACAGTAAGTGCAGGTGCACACATTGAACTGCAAAAGAGACAAAAAACATGCAAAACATGTCAGATTTACCAAAAGACAGATTTTCGCCAGAGCTACCACCATACATGTATGTCAGAGTTATGGACAGCTTGATGATGAAAGCCCTTCAACAGTTATGTGCGTGTAAACTAATTATCAACAGCCGACACACATAACTACAGTGCCAAATGTTCCAAATGACTTTGAACCTCTATCACCCGACCACTTGCTTCAGCTCAAGGTCAAACCAATGCTGCCCCCAGGATAAATCCATCTGCAATATACACAGCCAAAACACCATTGGCAGCAAGTGCAATGCATAACGGAGTTCTAGACCAGATGAATCTACGACTTTTGCAAGAAAGACCGGAATGGAATTGCATTCAAAGAAACTAAATACCTGGACATACATGTATTGATCATAAACTCAAATGCACCTCATGGATCCTGGTTAATGGCAAAAGCTCTGGAGACACCACCCAGATCAAGAGGTCTGATTCTTTGTATGACAGAAACAAACATGCTGGAAAGACCAGTGAGCAAAGTTATCTCTCTGGTGCCAGTCTAATAACTGAACAACCCTCTGTCACAACAAGAATATAGATTTCAAAGGCTGAACCTTTTATATCTGGCTCCTTTTTTGTTTTGTTACTTGTTATTAAAGATGCCCATTTCAATAAAGGGCCGCTATGTAGGCCAGTATTTTGTTTTGTGCAAAATTTCCAAATAATATTGTCACCCAGTAGAGACCTCCTATTTATGGAAAATAAAAGACTACAATTCCCCAGCACCAGCTTATTGAGATTCAGAGATATGGGCCGATGTGACAGAGTTCTCAACCGCTCAATTATTTAACGTTATCAACTAACGGAAAGAAAAATAAATCTTAGTTTGTGCATCATTTTATTTGAGTTTTGCCTCTTTTGTTTTCATAGTAAACCATACAATAATAATTATATTTGACTTACCTTTGGGGGCAGATGTTTCAGTTGGCTTGCTTAATGCTCCATCAGGTTTCTCTTTCAGAGTTTCAACCTCACTGCCACACGTTGCATTGTTACTCTCCACTTCACCAGCAGGTGTGTCCGAATGCAGAGACTCTGACTCCCCGCTGACCTGATCGACTTTGTTCTGCACAGGAGTGCTGGGCTCTGTGGGAAAAAAACGAAAGGTTTTACTAAAACTTTAAAGTAGTCTAAACCCAGCAGAGTTTTCAGTTGGTGGAAAGCCAAGAGAAACTGTCTCCTGGTCAGAATTTAGAACTGTTACTTCCCCTCGTGGAGGAACATCTGTCATAAGAGAAGAAAAGTACATCTCAGGACCTTCTCATAACACTGCGTATATATTTATTACATTAAATCAGTTATTAACAGTCACACTTACGTTCGGACTCTGGTGCTGCTGGAGTGTTCTTTCCGTCCTCACAGCACGGGTCAGGGAAGGAATCTGATACTCCATAATGTTCCTTGGTAATTAAGAACAATACGTTTAAATATTTTTTATTCTAATTGATCAATGAATCATGCCATATTCACAATAACTTATATGAAAATATTTGTCTTGTAATTTTATTGTAATTTAATTGTTTACCTCCACATCAGGGTTATCCATTGCAGAAACACTCTCAAGATTCTTCAAACAGCTTCTCACTGAAAGTGTTAGAAAAGAACCGTGTTACAACATCTAATCTAATGTCGATTCTACACCAACAACTATGTTACACAAAACTCACACAGCTCTGTGAACTCTGCAGCCTGCTACACTACAATTTAGAACAAGAAGAACCAAATGGTCAACCCTCTTTAAGAGCCATAAAGGACAGATTTAACATGAGTCAGTGAGGCTGGTATAAGTAGGGTCATGCAGAGTAAGGTCGCCTATCCCTAAGAGAGAGAGGGGGAAATGTGTGCGGCACGTGCATGTGGAGTGTGCATGGGTAGAGCGAGCGAGCGTGAGCGAGCATACTAGTTAGCTGTAAAACAAAGTTGCGAATGAATTACATTACATATCACTTGTATGCAGTGGTGTAGTGGTCGTTGGACGCGGGGGATCGCCGTTCCCCAACTTATTTGGAGCCTCCACTTTTTTGAAGCATAATTTTTTTTGAATAGTCTAATAAATATAAATCATTGCAAGTGTGTATTTGTTGTAATAATGACGACAACATAATGATTTGTTTAGGTAGTGCCTCTGCTTATTACTGTTTCTTTATAGTCCATGATTTGAAGCCTGTGTGTGTGAGGGGCAGCGCCGTGTGTGTGTGTGTGTGTGTGTGTGTGTGTGTGTGTGTGTGTGTGTGTGTGTGTGTGTGTGTGTGTGTGTGTGTGTGTGTGTGTGTGTGTGTGTGTGTGTGTATGTGTGTGTGTGGGAGAGAGAGAAGCAGCGCTTATTTGCAATGACGTAGCTCAAGCATTTATGCAACTTGATTAGAAGCCTGTGTGTGTGAGGGGCAGCACCGTGTGTGTGAGAGAAAGAGAGAGAGCGCGCGCGCCAGGAATAATGCCGAAGCGTTGTGCATACAAGATCCGTTTATTCTATTTTGTTTGTTTGTTAGGCCGATGAGTTTTAAATAGATTTTGAAAGTGGAGATAGAGAGAGAGAGAAGCAGCGCTGTCTGCTTCGTTGCAATACTGTAGCTCAAGCATTTATGCAACTTAGACCTATACATTGTTTATGTAACTTATGTGCCGGTGTGTCCATGGTTTTGAGTCTGTGTGTGTGTTGAGCGCAGTGCCGTCTGCTTTTGCAGTACAGTAACTAAAGTAGGACTAAGCATACCGGTAGTTTCTGTAGACCTGTCTGCCCGTTTTGTGAGTGCACAGCGCGCGTGCGCACTTGAGGCATTGTTTGGGATGACCTAATTAAAATAGCGTCCACCCAGTAAAAAAATCCCCACTACACCACCAGGGTCGTATCCACCATTGAGGTCACCGAGGTCTGGACCTCGGTCATTTTTTCCGAGCTATGTATATAACAAAACTTGTGAAATAACTAATTAAAGCAAACAGAAGAAGACGACATGTATCAACCATATACTGTATATATAAATGGACGTAGTGTCTGTGACGTCACCCATAGGATTCTGCAGAGTTGCCGAGAAGCCTAAAGTAGGCGGTGTCGGCCACTAACGGCTCGACAGTGACGTCAGAGTCTAACTCCCGCCTGCTCCAGCGTGATCCAAATAAGGGCAAAGAGGCGGAGCCGAGGAGGGACCTGCTGCTGAAGCACAAGGCGGGGCTCCAAGCTCCCGATCTAGCTCAGGCTACCAAGCTAGGCTAACATGCTCACAGGGGTAAGCTAACAGCCATAGCTAACAGCCCAGCTTTTGGTCACTCCTCAGAGCTACACTTTCCCGGTTTTTGCTGAAGGTAAGTTAAAGGTAGGGTAGGTAAGTTTGAGAAACCGGCTCGAGATCGCTAGAATTTGAAAAAACACAACCGGAGAATATCTGCCACTGCCTTATAGAGCCCCTCCTCCAACACACATGAACGCGCACATGACCAATGAGGGCACGGGATAAGTTTGTGCCCCGATGGAAGGCTGACAGGCAGGTAGGCCATCCAGTTATTTTAGCCGGGCCGGCTAAAATGATTGGTCGTGCTTTTTACAGTATTACAGCTTCCACAGATGACATTTTTTTATGGATTTTTTGTCAAAGCACTTAAGATATTCATTGCTATCGGGATGTTAAGAGCATTCCATGGAATATAACAAAAAGTGTATCTCGAGCCGGTTTCTCAAACTTACCTACCTTAACCTGTAACTTTACAACAAAGCTTTTCCCTATGATTTAACTGTTCTTGATATTACACTATACAAGTTTAAAAACGTTTCTCCATGATTCAAATATAAACAGTGTTATATGCATGGGCTAACAAATGCAAAATGTGCATATTTATACTTTTTGACCATCAATTGTATAAACATCATACATTTAATCCAACGTTACTGTTTCAACAGCGCTGTGAGAGTATAAGTTAAATATGACTGTAGAAAAAGAAAGGCGCTTTTATATTGATTAAACAATTTGTATTTCTTTCAGCATTAAGACAAAGAATATGGCAACCTCCTCCACGCCAAACTGCACAACCTGTAAGTTGATGGTCCTGGCTTACTTTACATGACTTCAGATGGTTGAGATTACACTCAAACATACTATACATATATGTATATATATATATATATATATATATATATATATATATATATATATATATATATAGACCCCCGGACCCCCCTAGAGGAGGTGACGTCCACCCCCCAATTCAAACATGTTCATACAATACTGAATACATTTGAAGCCATTATGACGTATATTACCTATGTCAATAAGTTTCTGTTTTTGTAGTGTATTTGTCTTTTGTAGAGATTTTTCATTTATTCTTTATATATAAAATCTCGCCTAAGGCAGCAAATTGGCTAGAACCGGCCCTGGTACTAGGCCTCTAGAGCCTTTCTTGTGCTGGCAGACACATAGAAACAAATTGGCAGGGCACACTTCGCACGTGCACACACTAAAAAATTCCACGCGCTCCGCGCTCACATTATGCTGGGCCCACGTGCCTTAGCACCGCTGCTATGACTCCATCCTAGGGGAAACACTGCTATACATATATGTGTATATATATATATATACATATGTGCATAATTGGAGATAAACAGCACAAAGGATATAAATATATATATAAATATATATATATATATATATATATATATATATATATATATATATAAACTGTGTACAATCAACCGCACAACAAGAAATTTTAATTGTCTTATACTTAACAAACGACACAAAATCCACGGACACGGCCGTCGGGTCAAGTTCGGTAAATAGCAAAGCCTAGCCCAGGGGTTGGCAACCCCTGGCCCCGCGGCACCGTAACCAGTGGCACACTAGGAATAAGTGGAATAAGTGTGCAAAATATTTAAATTTATTTTCGGATCCTGAACGAGACCGCCGCCAGAGCGCGTCTCCCCGTTACCTGCAGAAGGAAGCCATGCACGCAACGCAGCCCCGCTCTCTTTAACTCCAGGCGACTTTCTGCCGCTTTCCTCCGTAATGCAGTGCTGATAGTTTCACCACAGAGGAAAGCACTTCACAAATTGCAGTACCCATAAGGAGCTGTAAAAATACCGCAGTTTTTGCGTGGCGATCGATATCGGCCGATACTCACTCTCTGCCGATCGATCGGTGCTCTCTAAAAATGCCGATCGTGAGACGTAAAATACATGACACTTTTCTCTGTGTGCGGCAAAACAAGCTCGCCAAAATGGCTTCACCAGTCTGGCAGTATTTTAAGGTGTCCGAAAATGACAATAAAATAGCGGTGCAACGTGTGTGAAGCAGAAATCCTGCAGCTCCACCCGCTGTGACGGACCGGTGAGCGGAGCAAAACACACAAGAGTTAGACCTAACACACTTAGCAAGAAAAAATTCACCCCCCAATCCATATTCAGGAAGGGGGAATCTAACTATACAGGGAATATGGTTTTTTGAACCACGATGTAAACATGTTTATTTCTGCTGTAAAGTTGGGCATTTTAACATGGGGGTCTATGGAAATTGCTCCCTTCTGCAGACTGCTCCTACTGGTCACTAGATGAACTGCAGTTTGAGGCACTTCCGGCTCTGCCCCAGAGTTTGCCGCTTGGTATCAACAAACCACCGCAGCCCGGACTTGTATCGGAGCGGCGGAGGAGTAATGAGGTATCTAGAGATCTGAGTCCAGCGGGCTGCTTGTGTTTCTGTTCCTCACAGGACATCATATGACCAGCAGATCCTGTGTGAAGTGAACGCTCTACGTTAGTCAGTGGACGTCCGACAACATGCACACTAACTTATATTGTTGTAGCCAGTGGCGTTTTTATATGTACAAAAGTGGTGGGGCACAAAAAACGTAGATGTTTATATATAAGCTTCTGCAGTGACGTGCATTGAGGTTCATGCTGGTGAGGCACTGTCTCTTCAGGTTTACAAATATCATATTTTGACCAAAATCAAAATATTCTATTATTTTCAAAAGCTTTTTTAGACTTATGCTTCGATTAATTTTAAACAGACAGTTCAACAAAAGGATACCCAAAACATTTAATTGTATCATTTCAATATTGGATTGTTCTCTCTTATTAAGATCCCATTTTCAATAAAATGGTGGTCTTACCTTGAAGATGAGGTCCATTTGCCTATCCTTCTGGACAAAAATCTCTATTACTTTTTTGTAAAAGTCCTCCTTATCTTCTTGTAGTTTCATAAAAGTAGGGTACTGTAGACATGTGGATATTGGTATGTTTCCCACAGATCTTATTTCGAGCTATTTTCTAAAATCCTATGGAGAAATCTCATTGCTTTTTTGTCGAGGGAACCCATGCGCAGCTTACTTCCGGGTTTTAGGATGCGTCACTGCACCTCTCTCGTCTCCTCTTCACACACTACACTTTTCGCGGCACACGAGCCAATCAGCTCGGAATTATGTGAGATGACGTTTGGTGGGGGTGCCAGGCACACTGCCCCTATGGTGATTATTTTTGTTGCTGCACACATTGAATAGAAAAAGACTCTGAGCATGCGCAGTGTAGTTTTTACAGTACACGTTCACTTAGACAGTGAGAGGTAGGGGCTAGATTGGGGCTTGACCCAC